AATACGTCATATCTTTGATTAATCGTTCACTACATTAATAACTATGAATATAAACTGTCAGAATGAGTAGTCTGAATAGCGACGGTTATCTCGTAATTAGTTCCAAATCACTGAGCCAAGTTCCGTCCAAAATTCAAATTGGCCTGAACGATGACAGACATAACACAGCAATTCGCTAATAATCAGCTAATTAAGTCGATCAACATACGCAAAAACAAATTCATGACAGTATTGCAACTGGGACTGAGTCCGTTTCTTTATTATCCGTTGGTCCATTCGAGGCCAACCACAGCAAAGCGTTGGGTTTCTAGCCCCGCAATCCTGCTGTGGGAATCACAAAATATACTACCATAGAGCATGGAGGTAAAAAGACAGATTTTTTTACCTCCATGCATAGAGCGACAGTATGCCGTAACATGGAGGTCTGTTTTTACCTCCATGACGAGAACAATCATACAAGTGATTAAATTGCAGCTAGCTGCTTTTTCAACAATGTTTTTTTTATTCTATTTAAAACTTCGACGGATGTAATACGTAATACACATAGAATAGATAAAAACACACAGGACTGTGATGTTACTAACCCCGACGCAGGGCCAGTGTGTACGTGTACATTTTAATGCCAACAAAACAATTTTCATTTGTCTAGGCGTTGTTTACATATATGTGTGTATGTATATATGTATCCTAACATTAACCCCGCATTGCCACGATTACCGTGGTATCACAGAAATCACTTCTTTGTATCACTATGATTGTCGTATGATCTTGTCCATCGTCGCTCGAATTGCGCCTGGACGACTGTTACAAGACCAGCTCATTTTCAGTTGGTTGCCGCATGCGGGCGCAAGTTTGTAAGCATTTTGGAGATAAGATCGCAACTCGTGCGTTCATGAACGGTTACTTATATAGTAACCGTGGTTCATGTCAGAATTAGCGAGTTTCTTTATGCTGCCAGTAATTTGATACGCAACAATTTATAGGCCGATCGTAGCCGGCTGATCAGTCGCTCACTTCCAATTCGACAGCACTGAAGTAATACTAATTTATAAACTAAACTAATCCCAGATTTCTGATTTTGTTGAAGATTGAATTAGATTATTTGTAGCAATATGGATTTCACATCACGAATTGGCTCAAGATTTCACCCAAAATGCATTGCACATACACTCAGTAATTGCAAAAATTGAAATGGTCATTGCTGAATTTTACGCCAATTTTCAAAAAAACAACTTGAATATTTTTAGAGAGTAAACCGGCTTCAAAAGTTTTGTCTAGTAGCGCGACGCACAGATAGGGTACCAACGCGCACCAACATTGGTTGCTACGTAACATGCGCGTTCGGTGGGACTCACCAAATGGTCTTACGCAGATATTACGATAACCTTTCACGGGCAAACTGTCAATCTACATATTATAACAGTTCCGCTGTGAACGAAAACAAAAATACTTATTTGGGCCTATCAAGAGAACATCCGTGCTATGTAGTTTTGTAGAGATTCTCTTAAAATGTCATGAGAGTTGATAGTCAATTTTTAGTTTTTTTTTATTGCGGCCAGTTCGGCCATCCCCATGTTTACAAGACAAGCCCACGTGTAGTTCATCGCCGTTTTACTTTTACTCCGCTAGATGTATTTGAAGGTAGCGCCCTCAGGGGCAACTTCATGAAAATGTTAAAGCTGCTATACACGTTCACATGTCGCCGAAATGGTAATAATTTCATTCATGATGCTCTCAAAACAAAAGTTAAAACCCACCTATTCGACCAATCAAAATTGCTCTACTGCATGAATAATAATTTTCCTGCATGGAGCAAAATTTTTGTAAACTGGTACATGCAAGTTGGGGTTCATTTTCCCCTGTTCTTGCAACAATAATTCATTACGCCAACCTCGAATTCAAAAAGGTGTAGCTCACATGTATTGCATTTACTCATTGTGTAATAATTTTTTTCAAAATTTTATAGCATATTCCATTTGAAAATAGGGGTATTGCAATCAGGGATTTTGTCAGAATTATTGACAAGACTAAATGCTTTCAAAAGCATATGATGACGATTTTAATAGAAATGCACTACCTCTAAATCCACTACCATGTACTTACTCACTTGAGTATTTTATTTAATCTTTATATTGGGCTGCCAGCTTACAAAGAATAAACACATAAATGCATCAAGTTGTGAAAAATTTCTTTAATCCCACACTACCTTGTTGTACCAAGAACTGTTCCCAAGTTTTAAAAATATCCACTATATCTAAAAAAAAATAATGGCTCAATACCATATACTTTATCCAGCCTCATGTAAATATGCTCAATAAAACAATACCTGTTTGTATGTACTGTATTTGCTCTATTACCATAGTAACGCATGCACTTATGTAATTGACATACATGGCTATGGTTTCTCTATTAATTTTTCGGTTGTCAAATATACTAATCATTTTAACAAGATTCACATAAGCAAGTGTGCTTCAAATAGAGCAAATACAACAAGTTGCCATTAGTCTGTTCCTTTGACAATTAACAAAAGGCACAACTGTAGAAGAGACATACAGCTTTTTAGCTCTTAAAGTTCTACATTGTGTATTCAGTGTCAGAGTTGATTATTCATAGTCCTTGTAGAGGATTAGTGAATAAATCAGTAAAATATATTTAGTTTTGGTTCCAAGTCTTGAAAAAGAATTGCCACAAAGAAGTTTGAAGAATTTTGATTATCATCTTTCATATTTATATGAAATAATTTTTGAATAAATATGCTTACATGTTAACTGATACCCAGGTAGCAAAAGTTCGATTTTGGTTTAGTAGCAAGTATATATCATAATAGTATTGCATTATAATAAAATCATTTTTTCATGGCAAAAATAATTCTAGACTAATTAACCAGTGTTGATGGTAGCTTATATAATAGAAAATACACAAGAGTGCAGTTTGGTTGGTTCACACTTCTAGATATTGTGGTATATTTAAAATTAAATTTTTAATATGCAGCTTGGATTTGTTTTTGTTGGTACATAAAAAAGGAAAAATAAAAACATATCAAAAATTAATCATGGGAAATTAAATTACTTCATTTTGACAAAAACAATAGCATCTTTGATTTTGGAGGTCTTATTTTGTTGTACTATATATTAATGATTTAATGAGTTATGAAATTTCTGGTTTATGTGCACTTTTAATAAACATGAGCTCCTAATTATGGTATGCAAATCATTTTATGTATATCTCAATTTAGTAAAACTTTTCAGCAATTACTGCAAAATTTAAAGAATAAAAGCACACACTTATATTATTTCTTCAATCCCAAAGACTCTGATAAATGAATACTAAGGCTGTATTTGGTGATTTACCTGAAATAAACTCTCAGAAATACAGACACTCAAAACTATATTTGAGCTGACCAAGACTTATTTTTCTGACAGTCTTTTATATGATATGTTTTTTTTTTCATTTTAATTCATAATTATAAATATTAAAATATGTTAAATTTTCAAGGCATCAGTCAGAAATCAAGATACAATGATTGAAACCATGTATAGACACGAAACAGTTCTATTGTGTCAATCATATTTTTATGAGTGGACTAACACAATGAAATGCTTTTACTAGCAGAACTACCAAACTTACGATCTGACACCACATCATCAAAACCAAATCATCAGCCCTCACATTGTAGTAAATTTAATAAAACATAAAACTTCATTGATTAAATTAATTGATATTCCAAACCTACCCGTTAAATTTGATTTTCTTAAAAAAAAAATAGGTGTGTTAAAGCCTCATGTTTGACTATGTGGTAAATGTACTTTATCATGGATCGTAAAAACTGTCTACACTTTGGTTATAAAATATACCAAAATACAACATCCATTATTAAAATTAAGTCTCTGAACTAATAATACTTTTGTATTATTACCTCAAATGATTTGATTTCAGACATGTGTGAAGGCCTGACATCCAATCAGAAGTCACCTTACACATTGTCTTTTCAGAAGGCACTTTTATAACAATGTCAATGATTGGTTAAATAATCAGTGAGTAATTTCTCTTGTGCACAATCCAATCAAAAGTCTTGTCTCGAATTTAGACAGCGGTTCCCGAATTCCTTGATGATACAGACGATACATCCATTACTTCTTGACCTCTTAGCGTGTACCTAAATAAAACGGATAAACAACAATTATATGGTAGCTGTGAGTCTCGCCTTCCCAGCATACACTAAATATTTATATTATGAGGTTATTACGAGGATACCTCAAAATATGCATGAAGACAGTACAGCGGGAGTATCAATGGACGTGCAGCGGAGGTTGATGTGATGGCGTACTGTCTGAGTGCATACTTTGAGGTATCCTGGTAATAACCTTATTATTATGCATCTTTTCCTTCCAAGGATATGGTACATCATGGGAATGCCAAAATCCAAAAAGTTTAGAACAGAATCAGCAAACTTCTTTGTGTGGAGTCTGGTCTGGTGGCAGCCATGTTTGTTTTTATTATTAGAGAACGCATTTCCAAATATGGTAGGATGAAAATACCAGCAAAAGTACGGCATGCTGTAACTTGTGGCGTTATAGTGACAGATGTATAATAATATTAGTTATACCATTGGCCCATCTATTCCCTGGTTTGAATGATGAATACACAGTGTTTGTAAGTCTCTCTTTTGACTTCTACACAGATAAATGTTAGTGTTTTTTAAATAATGGTCTTCATGTGAAACTATAGTGTGCATATTTTGATCTGTGCTGTCATTTTATATTTATCGTTCCATTATACAATATTTATTCAAACCATGCCAAAACACTAAAATGCTAAATCTGAGATGTGCCATAGCTGTGATCAAAATCATTTAAAAAATACCCCCAGTACAAGTCACAAAATTTATGTATGATCAACTTTTCATCATCATCATCATCATCATCATCATTCATAGATATGTATGTTAGAGGAACAAAAAACCAAAAGGAACCTAGGAAGTATAAAACTTGTACGTTAAAATAAATGAGAATGTTCTGATTATGAGATATTTCAACAAGTACAGCGAAGTGACACTCAGGTCACATTGCTGAAAACTCGTACAAGTTGTCCTACTACCGGTACTCATAAAAGAAAAGAAGCTATTGCAGAAAAAAAAGGCAGTATCAAAATAATTCTATATAGTTATATGAACTTAATTTACTGTAACTTAGCATATTCTCCAAAATCCCAGCTTTTTGTGACAATTTGAATACCCAGACCTTACAGTAGGCACCAAAATAAACTGATCAAATTTCTCTTGCAACATTCTTAATGGGGTTTATTTCGACTTTGACAATTTCACAAGCCAACATTTTCTGTAAATGCTCAGCCAATTCACAAAGGATATTGGTAGGTAAAAACAATAATAGGAAAATTTTATACATTATAACTCAATTTTCCCACATTTTCAATTAATCCATTTTTTGTGTTATGTTGAGAAGGAAAATTCAATTGTGGCAGTAGATATGACTGAATATCAAAACATTGGAATGGTCCATATTAAAATTACAACTTTGAACGAGGCTTGTTTCCTGATATTTCTTTATCACATTGCAGATGGTGTTTTATAAGTGGTTAATTTTGTGGGTGATGTTACTCTGTGGTAGGCTACCTTTGTATTATTAGTTGTCTGGGTGATATACCCATATAGTTGTTGCTAAGACATCATAAGATTACAACTGCAGATAACTTTTGTATCTAATTTGCAAACAACATGTAACTAGAGTGCAGCTCAAATGAACATACAGTGAGCAGCAAAACAGATTTGGAGTGAAATTGCATGAAATGTTGAATACTTAATCATATATACATTCTTGAACACAAATATAGCAAGACTTTCGTAAATTTCCAATGATTGAAGGCAAAGGGATTGTTTCTAGGAATATTGCTTTGTCGCCAGAGAAAATGATAGAAAGGTTTTTATGATCAGTTTATTTTGGCATCTGCTGTATTCCATGCAAAGAAAACCACACATTAATTAATATTTGTATCAAAAGTGATACTATCACCAAATGTAAGCGGTTGTGTCCAGAATAAACACTGATTACACTACGTAATACTTTAACAACCAACAAAGAATTAATGGGCAATCAATTCCTAATATTTGTAAGGTTAAGGACATATCACTAATGCACCCAGACAGGCAATCTCAAAGACTGAAAGCCTCAAAAACCCACACCTGCACCAACCGACTATACTTTTGACAGTCACATGCACAAGCCTACACTCCGACAAAAACAATACTCAACCTGAATTTCGAAAGCGAAGCCTGGAAATGAAAACGAAGATAAACATTGACAAAATTATTAAACAGATTTTCTTTTTTTTAATTCAATCTAATAATTATAGTTGTGTTCTCTGCCAATGTTGACTTCTGTTATCTTCCTCTTAGTTACAAAACAAACATTCATCTAATGCAGTCATTTGTCGCCAATAGCAAATTTACATTCATAGAGCTAAATTCTTTGGAATATTATATGAAATATTTGGTGGTCTGAATTTGTGCGCATTGCTTGAAAAAAAACAAGGATTTATCAGGATTCTACCTTGTTTTGAATTACTGCCATTGGAACAGAAACGAATCTTTGTGAATACAGATGTTTTGGTACATGTATACACATTGAAATGGGAAGCGTAGACATGATGAGAACGATTATTAAATTATTTTTTTTTATAATTTACACAAATTCAGTCAATCAAATAATTAACATAATAGTCTTAAGGCTCCAATAAAGCTCTATCAATCATTTCAGAATTAAAGGGCAGTGGTTGTCATGCAGCATGTGTTGGAATTTCATGTATACAATGAAACAAAACGTGGCATGACAGCCACCTCCCTTTAATTTATAAATAGGTTACTTGCAGGCTACTGGTGCACCTAATCAGTTCGTAACATGCATGGTCACTACCTCATGCACACCATACCAACAATTTTTTTCGGATTTTGCAGGATATCAAATGTTTAGGTGTATAGATATTTGGAATATATTTATTTGTGAGTCATACATAAAAAGCTACAAACTAGCATAAACAAAATGGTGGATTTGATGATGTACTCTGTACAATGTAAACTACAAATGGTATTTTGTATGATTGGTTCAAAACAAATATGGGAGTAAAATGCAAAATATTTACAGAAAACGAGAAAATTTATTTTGACTCTGGTGTCCCCTGAACAGAGTGACATAAGCATGTACAACTCACCACACTGTAGTAGCTTTGGTAAGATCTAGTTCAGATAAGTTGATATATGTCTGTGAAGATAAAATAGTAGGATATTAAGTTTTTTATTAAAGAAACCAGTTAGTTGATATTTCATATAACCACAGATTTATACTGCAAAACAATGTAAATTATTTAACATAGAAAATTAATT